TTTTTTTCTTTCTTTGATAATTAACTAATATTTTATTCAATAATACATTAAAATATTGTTTTCAAGAATACTATCATATTAAAAAAATCATCTCAGGTAAGTGTATATTTCCTTACCTCTCAGGCAGAGTCAGGTAGGCGGTAGGTAGTGTGTTTCCAATATATTCTTGTTCTCTCTCAACAATGCTCTAACATCCAGTGAGCTGTGTGTCATCAGCATAGCAATGGTAGGAGAAACCATGTGCTTGTATAATGGGTCCCAGTGATGTAGTGTATATGGTGAAGAGGAGGGGTCCAAGAACTGATCCCCGAGGAAACCCTGTGGCCAGTTGATGTTCTTTGGATACCTCTCCCCCCCAGGAAACCCTGAAAGACCTACCTATGAGATAAGATTCAAACCAGTGAAGTGCAGATCCTGTGATGGCAGACAGGATAATCTGATGATTCACAGTGGCAGAGAGATCCAGCAGAATAAGAACTGATGATTTAGAATCAGCTTTCGCAATCTGCAGGTTTATACTGACCGACAGCAAAGCAGTCTCAGTTGAATGGCCGCTGCTGAAACCTGATTGGTTAACGTTCAGTTGGTCATTCTGTGAAAGAAATAATGTAACTGTGTCTATAAAGGTGTGAACCAAATGGTCCATTCCATTGGAATAACAAAGGAACAGCATTCCTCAGGAACGTCTTGTAGATTGCAGGATCTCCAGAGGGAAGGCCCTAACAGTATCTGTTGTTTCTAGCCCTTTTGTATCTTTAGGTATAAAAATCTATCTCACAGACAGAACTTTGGGAGAAGCTAGGATTCATACAAGGGTTAAGACTGTTTGAAGGAAGACATGCAAAACATTGCTATTGAAGAACTGCAACACTACCATCTTCAATAAATTCTTCTCCTCACAAAAATTTTGGTCAAGCCTACTTAATTTTTTGTATTAGAGAAATCTAGTACATTGGTGATACGGCACATTGGTGGTGGTTGAGGAGATTTCTATGTAAAGCGCTTTGAGTACCCAGAAAAGTGCTATAAAAATTTAACAAATTAATAATCAATTAATTAAAACAATCTTTTATTGTACTATTGAAATTAATTAATTTGGTTATGGCGGAAAGTCAAATGGTCGCCATGGCAACCACGAGGTGTTTTTGTGATGGCATCATTTCTAGTTCAGGGTCCTAACCTGTACAATTGTACCAAGTTTCATGCTTTTATGAAAAAGTGAACATATCATCAAATTTTGCACATACCTGTATCACCTGGACTATAAGTAGGTACATTTTTTTGGAATAAGTATCACCTAGCGACTATCAAAAAAGTACTCTATATAGTATGAACATATGTGTAGTATAAATAATCCAGACCAGAGCATGTTGTCATTGTCATGAGATCCACCAGCATCAGTTCACTTCACTGCCATTCACAAGTCCTCTCACGTTGCCTCGTGGAATAGTAAAGTGTCCATCATATGCTCACTTCTGTTCATGTAGGCCTACTGTTAATTACAACAGCTGTTGCTTACGACAGTAAATTCCGCTCATTTTACTGTAGGGGGCTCCAAAGACACAAAAATGCACAGAACTACATGCAGTTGCTTTAACACCAGTGCAACCTTTCCATTACACAAAAGGTTCTTTATAGCGGAAAAAGGTTCTTTAGGTTACCAAAATGTCCTTCACACTAAGAAAAATATGGCTCCTTTGAAAACTGATCAGTTTTTTCTGGAATCATAATATGTGTCACGACCCTGGACACATTCTGTGTTTTTCCCTCTCCACGTGCTCCATGACCCAGTTTTCCCTTGTTAATTGTTTGAGTTCCAGGTGAGTGTTGTCAATTACCCCATGTATTTAAGGTCCTGTCTGTGCTTTCTGGTTTTGTCTGGTATTGAATGTTCGTATTTCCATGCTACGTGTGTGTCCCTTGTTCCATGGATGTTAATTAAAGTCTCTTTGTTTGAAGTCAACTCCTCGTCTCCTCGTTCCTCGCTCCATGCTCCTCACAGTAGCAGTTCGTGACAATATGCTTTGTCTATGGCTTGGCTGCAAAAACTGTCTTTTGAAAGTGTACATGTGCATTTTTCAAACTCCACAAACAATTTTTTCTACAAGCAGTAATCTGTCCCTGTTTCTTTGGCGCGTACAGTGACTATCACACTAATCCTGTGTCTTATAAGTAACATCCTTCCAGCACCTGACACAGTGACACTTCGACGTTGCACAATACTTCCCTCTTTTTGGCACAGTTCCCAATTCCCTCCTTACTACAGTCCAGCTTGAATGAAATTAAAGTTGGAAGTTTATGAGGGCACAAATCACCCTACTGTTAGGCCATAGGATGGGCAGATGAATGGCCCATGAATGTAGTGTGGAATTTAGCCGGGGGTATATTGGGAGTGAAGAGTCTAATCTCATAAGAGGCTCAAGCCACTTGAGGCCGGGTAGAGAAGAGGAAGTGAGCGATCAGAAGCATTTACACTGTGATTGTGTCTGTCATGTCACACCACTTTCAGGATTTTTCTGATGGGGTTGTCACTCGCAGTTGGATGTCCTGAAGCCTGGAGCTACTTCTTGGATTTAGCAGGATCTTTAGGTCCTTACGCATGAGTTGTATCTGAGGTTGGTAAATGAGATTTCTGCAAAATGCTTTTGAGCAGTTAAGTCACTCAACTGAGATGATATTCAGCATTGTAATATGTCAAATTCAAAAATAGAGAAACATTTATCTGAAAGAAAATGTCTTGATTGAATGCAGACCATTATCATACTTCATAGTATCATACTATTATTATTATAATTTTGAATGAGTGTATATATATATATATATATATATATAATTTGAATGAAAATGACAAATGGTGCTTTGGAAACTAGTTGAATAAAATTGTTTTTTAAAATATTTTATTTTATGTCAGTTAACGTTTATTTTATTTCAATTCACAATTATTTTATTATTTTAATTTAAGTTAACTCTGATGCAGACTGAAATTTTAAGTATTTGCTACACAGATTATTTATATTTTCTTAAACTTTCTATCTATTTTGTCTTTCACCGAGATTAAATTAATTGGTCATTTTGATCTCTTAATTAAGGAGCTTGGAGCTTGGATATTGTCAAATTACAATAATTTATGCAGACCAGTGTTATAATCACTATGATACTATGAGAGTTCTTATTAATATTTTAAATTAGTTATCAGTTTATTTTCATATTTTCTGTTTTAATTTTAAGTTTAGTTAAAGTTTTAGTAATTTTGCTGCGTTTCTGCTTTTTAAAAAATATGTATAGTATTCATTACGTTTCATTTTAGTGTTAGTTATTTTTGTAAATCAAGTTACATGATACGAAAATGAAAAATGTAGCCTTGGCAACTAGTTGAGTAAAATATGTTTTAAAATTTAAAAATTCCAGTTAAAGTTTATTTTATTTCAAGTCGCGAAAATATATTTTTTATGGTTTCAGTTTTATTTAACTATGACCCTGATGCAGACAGGAATTTCAAATATTTGCTGCACAACTGTGAATGTCTTATTAATATTTCTATCTATTTCGTCTTTCAGTGCAGAGATGCCTTTGATGATTGTGGAGATGAGCTGCAGTCTGATTGGCTGGCTCTTTCTGTATGTGCTGCTGTGTCACTTGAACAGTGAAAGAGATTGTGAGTGGAACTGCAGGTTGGTAACTCTGCTCCACGGCATCCTGATCGTCTGTGTGACTGCCTACATTGGCTTCATTGCTGGGCCATGGCCTTTCACAAACCCAGGTAAGTTGTCCTGTTTGGAAGGTTTTAGTCAAGTCAAGTCAAGTCACATTTATGTAGCGCTTTATACAATACTGATGTGTCAAAGCAGCTTTACAGTGTCAACAGGAAAATAGTTGGTCAATAATGCAAGAGGACAAAAAGAGTCAATTTCCAGATGAAGTTGTAACCCTCTAAAGCCTGACATATGGAATAATATTTAGGAAAAAACAAACATTTTATTTAAAAATGTAACACTTTACTGAACCTTTCAAACAAAACAGTATAAAATGTTGATGATGCATCTCAAGGGGTTTATCCCAAATAATACATTTGTTAACATATTTGATAATGCATATATGGCTCATATACTGTATGATAAAGGAATACGGAGCACCTCAGTTTTATTCAGAGGCCCAAACTGAATAAAAATATACAATTTGTTGCAGTTACTGTTAGTTATATGGCCAAAAAGTACAAGACAAAACAAACGGACCCTAAGCAGCACTAATAATTCAGTTTTTCAATTATGTCCATAATTCTGGAGCAATAAGGCCTTAAATCTTTTTCTTTTTTTTTATATGAATCCATGATTCAGGCCCTACAAAATATGCCATTTGTTTGATTTGCATGAAACTTTGCACATATCATCCCCAGACACTCATGACAAGAAGTTATTTTTGAAAGAAAGAATGTTGATGTGTTGAAGCATTGCAAAGATATAAGTTAATTAATTGCCAAAGCAATGCCCATTTTTACGAGCTGACCTGTATCTGCTGTATGTAATGTCCAAGCTTAACAAAACTTGACACACATAGACAACAGGACATTCTGAGGATGCACAAGAAGTTTCGTAAAATTCTGCCAATAGGGGGAGCTACAACTGAAAAACCAGTTAAAGGGATAGTTCACCCAAAAATGAAAATTCTGTCATTAATTACTCACCCTCATGTTGTTCCAAACCCCTAAGACCTTCTTTCATCTTCGGAACACAAATTAAGATTTAAAAAAAAAAAAGAAATCCAAGCACTTCCTGACCCTTCATACACCGCAACGCAACTACCATGTTCAAGGCCCAAAAGGTGGTAAGGACATTGATAAAATAGTCCATGTGACATCAATGCTTCAATCGTAATATTATGAAGCTACGAGAATACTTTTTGTGTGCAAAGAAAACGACTTTATTCAACAATTTCTTCTCTTCCGTGTCAGACTGACATGGAAGAGAAGAAATTGATATGCCACTGTAAAACGAATATGTGAACTGGATTTGGTGAAAATCGGCCACAAGGTGGCGCTATAATAGGCAACTTTACCTTTTAGCTAATAACTCAGCAACCAGGTGTAATAAAATCAAAATTCTTCTTTTTTTCTGCATTCTCACTTTAAGTCCAGACAAAAGAAATTTAATTAAATGCACAAAACCAGTTTATTTGTACAATTATGGTGCACTGGTAATGCTATTTATTATTATTATTATTAGGGGTGCAATCACCGAAGGTGCTGGAAACCTGTTGTTCTTATACAGATTTTTCTCTGCTTCTTCTTTGTTTTTCGGCCATAAAAATAAATGGGCATCAGAGACCATAAATCGTAGAGATCCCAAAATCAGCAGAATGGCTTCAAACATGCACCGCTACTCAGGCGCACAGACACATTTGCCCAACACTAGGTGGCACTATAATAAGCCAACTCACGTTTTGGTCCATAACTCTGGAACCATGGAACCTCTGGAAGTGCTTGGTTCAGTTCATTCATTTTGAAGTGTTGGTGGCAGATGGCAGTAGATGTTTGGCCTGAGTTCATGTCAGGGAGCTCTGGGGCCATAGCAGCTTTAGAAGTAATAGAAATTACTTTTTTCAGGAGCCTAAAGAGCAGAAACGTTCCATAAAACTCTTTAAGGGAACAGTGCAATATAAATATAAATATACATTTATTATACATTTTCTAACAAAATTCCGAAATTGTCATATAAATTCTTACAAAAATGTATTACAAATTTTCTTATGAATTTTACTCACAAAATTTTTTAATTTTCTAATTTACACATTTTTATAAGAAAATGTATCTTACAAAATGTCTTATGAATTTTCCCAAAAAATTTCTTATCAATATTCCTACAAAATTATAAATATAAAAAGTAAATCTAAATATAAAAACAATATATAAATAACTATTATTTACACATCCCCAAGCAAGTAATACCATCAGATGCAAGTATTGCTGCTTCAAGTCATTCAAGTCAAGAAAACTGATTTTTAAAACAAAATGTAGGGTCTTATTTATTGAAACAAGTTTAGAAATTTCAAGAGGGTTCCCAGTATTCATGTTTAGGGTAAGGGCTTTGTAAGGAGAATATGCAAATTAAATTTAAATAATTCTTCAAGAATTAATTGGATGTGATTTTTGACATCTCTTCCTCTTGTTTCCAGGCACTGAAAACACATCTCTCCAGATCCTGGCTCTTGTTCTCAGCTTAGGATACTTCCTCTTTGACATGGCTTGGTGTGTGTATTTCCGCACTGAGGGTCCGGTGATGCTGGCCCACCACACCATGAGCATCCTCGGGATGGTGCTGGCACTAGGGCTGGGTGAGTCGGGCATCGAGACCTGCGCTGTCCTCTTCGGCAGCGAGATCACCAACCCGCTCCTGCAGGCCCGCTGGTTCCTCAAGCGCATGGGCCGCTATGACAGTTTAGCTGGAGATGTGGTGGACCTGCTCTTCATTCTTCTGTTTGCCTCTGTGAGGATTGGTGTTGGGAGTAGACTGCTTTATTGTGAATTAGCCTCTCCGAAGCCATCGCTTATAGTGAAAGTTGGTGGGGTGGCTATTTACACTCTCTCCTGGATCTTCATGATAGACATTGCACGTTTTGCATGCAAGAAAACTCGCGCCAAATACAGGCGATGGAAGGAACAGTACAAGCTGGAAGAAGCTAATGGACATGCTGTTAAAGTGAAATAGGCCTTTCTGTGCATTAGGACTGGGAAAAGTGGCATTTTTGCTTATATACATAGCTATATGTAGCATTTTGTTATTTTACAGGGTTCCTTTTTAATGGAGAGAGATGAGCTTCAGTGATATTTGGAAACTAAATACAATGCTGCTCCAAATGAGTTATTCCAAATGTGTAGGCTATGACTTGCCTAAAGCAAAAGGTTTTGTTAGAAAACAGAGCCTAAACAGGAGGTAGGAAGCCATATGTATGTGATTAGTTGCCACTATTTCCAAACAGCAGAGGAACTTTGAAATGTAAAAAGTGGCAAACTTTTTTTAATGATGAAAGAGGGCTGTTTTGGGAGTAAAGAAGAATGTGGTACCATGCAGATCTTTTAGACAGTATGCTGCATGAGTCCATATGAATAAAGCCTTTTTTGCACAAACAAAATACTAAAGATAAATTTGTGGATTCAGATGAAAAGTTTAGTTTTTAACCACCTGCTTATTTGTTGGTCTGATTATTAAAAGAATGTGCTACACAAGAAATATTTTGTCAAAAATATTCTCTGGGCCTACAACTTGTGATTGCTTTATCATCTCACATCTGCAAGTATTTTTACAGTAGCCTATATACAGTATACATACATATTTTTATTGTCAAATGAAAAACAATATCTCTTTAATTATCTCTGTTTACATATTATTTTAATTAGGGATTATTGCTAAATGTTGCTGGGTTCACTAACATTGAAAATATGATAGTCATCCATTGCTTTGAACTCTTCTGAACACTGATCATTTTTATAGTTGGTTTGGCGCTGCGGAACCACCAGTAGGAATAAACCGCTAGGTGGCGCAAAAGATTTAAATATGCTCATTCTGATAAATATTGACAAATAAATCACAGCTTTATTGTATCAATCAGTCTGTCTTTCATTCCAGAATCTGTATTTTTCTGTATTTCTTTTATTCTTAGTTTCTCCTAATTTGATCTTATCATTCGATTATAAATTATATTTAAATATTGATCTGCTTCTTCATCAGAATGTGTCTTTAACATAATGATTTTGTTTACTCATTGCAGATTCTGGCTAATCTGTAAATCACCTTGTTTGATTTACTGGTTTAAGTGAGTGAATAATGCTCCTAATTTACTGCCTACTAGTTGCCAGTACTTTACCAATGACAACTAGTACGCTAGTCTACAACACTTGGGAGGCGATAGTGCTGTTTGCGGAAGGATACGCCAAAAAGTGGTGAAGCGTCGCAGGCGTAGGAATCCGGGATGTGATTTGACTGAAACTCGGGAATTATCTGGATTTTTGTGATTTCTTCTTAATCGTTTTTAATCTTCGTACAGCGCCAAACTGACACATGTGACAACGCGCTTGTATAGAGACGGAATCCTTGGTCTACAGATTTTGTTGGAAAAAGAACGGCTAAAAACTACTGAATTTCGGAAAACATGGAGACAAGAAGGGAAGGACCCGACTAAACCAAAGTTTCCAAACAAATTATTCCAAGAACAGAGGGAATCCGTTCGCGAGACGAAAAAAATGTGTTGCACATCCGTCAAGTTTGGATTGTATTTTACTGCTGCTTTGAAACGGAAGCTGTTTTGAGCAGAATTCCTGAACTGGGAACTATGCCCCGCTGCCCCTAGAGCAAACATCAAACGATTTGTAAAGTTTTCTCCCGATTTTGCAGTGGAAAATATGGGAATTCTAGAAGTTGAACTAGGTAGGGAAGGAATTACAATGAAAGGTTGAACCGTGTGGATGCTTTAATCCATCCGTTGAGTGAATTCCCCCAGATTTTCACACATTTGGAGTGGCCAGGATACGTTCTTCTGGAGAAAAAGTCCATTCAGCGTGTAAGGGGCCTAAAAAGATGTATATTTAGTTAACAGACTTACTTTGCACTACCAATTCAATTGACGGTGTGGTCTGTACTGCAAACTGACGTTTTGTGCAGCAGTGAAAATCCCACGTTTGAGATTAGGTTGAGTTTAGGAATGCCGAGTTGGAAGTATTTCAGTGGGGGAAATGATAGAAAGCCGTCGAGATTTACAAAGTAGAGCTGTAGCGAAGAGCTTTTGGACTGACGCGAAATGCAGCCGGACAGTCTCCTTCATTCGTAAGGCAACACATTAACAAAAGATTGTTTCTCTGGCTTTACTTTGCTTTGGGATTGACAAAGGCGACTGTATCCAGACAGAGGCGAGGGGGAAGCCTGTCGGTCTGTGTGGTGGCATTTTGGCTGGGAAAATGATGAAGCGTCTCAGACAACAGAAAGAGTTTTTCTCCATTGATCATCTATGTGTTTGCGTTTAGCATCGATTTCCTTTGCTAACTCTTGTGTTGTGTAGCGCTACAGTCAAATGACACAGACTACTGAAACGCAGACAAACCGTGGAAATATAAAACATAAGCTTGTTTGTTTCTGTTCTGTTCAAGAGGAGACTTTACCATTCACATCAAGACGGAACTGTCAAAATTGAAAAGTGCCACCCGGCTGTTGTTGTTTTGTTTATTTTATTTATTTTTTCAAATACAAAGGTGTTTTACCATGGTAAAATGCTAATTGGATAAGAGCTGAAGAAAATCAAGAAAGGAAAGCCCAATGAGCGGCACACAGTCCACGCTTGCTGAGAGGTAAATAATGACATATAGTATTTACATGGTTGTGTTTATGATAATGATAGTGACCTGTCTTAGATTTATGACTCTGTTTATACATATATATATATATATATATATATATATATATATATATATATATATATAAACAAAACACTCTATGTGTGAGATAAAATAAATAAATAAATGTAAGAATGTTTTCATACTCCACTGGCAAATTCTTGTATAATGTTAGTATAAATTTAGTATAAATTTAGGCCAGTATTTCGATTGA